AGATGGAGGTTGCTGTGAGCTGTAATGCCACGGCACTCTGCCCAGGGGGACAGCTTGAGGCTCTGTCTCAAAAAAAAAAAAAAAAAAAAAAGATTACAGCGGGGTCTGAGGGGTACTACTTAAAGAGACTTGGAAAAGTGAACTTAGAGGCTATGGGCTCAGTGGAGGAGATCCAGGGAGTCCCCCCAAACGGTGTACTGACATACGGGGCTCTCAGCACCACCCTAGCACGTGATATGTATTACTGGGTTTAACTCAGGCCCAGCCGCTCTTCAGATAAGGAAACTGAGGCTCAGAGTTGAGTGCCTCGCCTGGGTCATATAGACAGTACACGGCAGAGCTTGAGTTTGACCCCAGCGCTGTCTGTTCCTAACCTTCACATCCTACATCCCACAGAAATTACAGGGGACATCAGGGCCACTGCTCCTGACAGAGGAGGAGAAGCGTACCCTGATCGCTGAGGGCTACCCCATCCCTACGAAACTCCCCCTCACCAAAGCTGAGGAGAAGGCCTTGAAGAGGGTCCGGAGAAAAATCAAGAACAAGGTAAAGCCTGAGCCAGCTCCGGCCCTGGGGCTTCCCTGGTGGGTGGAAGCCTCTGCTCCCCTGGTGATGCCAGTCCTAAAACTGGGGGAGGAGAGCAGGAGGATTCGGGGCAGTGGTAACCCTTGTTTGGGGGCCTCTTCCTCTAGATCTCAGCCCAGGAGAGCCGCCGTAAGAAGAAGGAGTATGTGGAGTGTCTAGAAAAAAAGTAAGGATCCTGGGAGTGAGGGGGTCCTGGCCCCACTCCCCCCTCCCCGAGCTGCCCTCCTCAGTCCTCACTCAGGGGCGCCACAGGCAAGGGGCACAGGCAGTGTGATGTTGGTGGGCTGGGCTGAGGGGCCATAGTGAGTCTGGGGGCCGCCCTGAGCCTGTGCCTGCTTGACCCCTACAGGGTGGAAACATTTACATCAGAGAACAACGAGCTGTGGAAGAAGGTGGAGACCCTGGAGAATGCCAACAGGTGTGTGGTACCATCTGCATTCCACCTGGCCCTGCCCTTCTGCAGCCCCCACCTAGCTCTGCATAGCTCTGAGAAAAAGAAGAAAGGAGAGATAACCAAGTTTAGGATGACAGGGGCCCCAGAAAAGTCCCCATGGCCTAGGACTTCCCTGCATTCCCGCTTCTTCCTCACCTACATGTAACTCCAGGCACCTGACAGGGCTGGTGAGCTGCTTATGTGAGAATCATACAGAGCAGACATTTCCAGAGTGTGGTCCTCAGACCGGTACTAGCATCTCTTGGGAATTATTAGAAATGCTCATTCTCACGCCCCATGCCAGGTCTACTGAATCAGATGCTCCAAGGCTAGGGCAAAGCAATCTGTGTTATTATTCTTTCTTTCTTTTTCTTTTTTTGAGACAAAGTCTTACTCTGTCACCCTAGGTAGAGTGCTATGGCATCATAGCTCACAGCAACCTCAACTCTCAGGCTCAAGAGATCCTCTTGCTCCAGCCTCCTGGGTAGCTGTGGTTACAGATGACTGCCACAACACCCAGCTATTATTTTTAGTAGAGACAGGGATCACGCTCTTGCTCAGGCTGGTCTCGAACTCATGAGCTCAAGCAATCCATCTGCCTCGGTCTCCCAGAGTGCTAGGATTATAGGCATGAGCCACCACACCCATCCTAATCTGTTTTAATAAGCCCTTGGGGTAATTTACACGCACTCTAGTTTGAAAACCACTGGTATAGCTCCTCGCTACTCAAAGCCAGTTCCCCAGTCAGGCAATATCAGCATTACCTGGGAGCCTGTTCGAAATGCAGAATGTCAGGACTCCCCAGACTAAGTGAGCTGGAAACTGCATTTTAACAAGATCCTTGGGAGATTCACATGCACAATTAAGTTTGAGAAATGTTAGTATAGAGAGACCAGCACAGTGCCTGGCATGTAGCAGCTTCATAAAGTCGCAGCTCTGGGTTCTTGCCTTGCTCTGCCATTTTTATACCTCTGGGGAAATTGTTAAACCTCTCTGGGCCCGGAAGCATGATGTCTTGGGATTAATGTAAGGGTGTAATGAGACAGTCCCAGTAAAGACCCAGCATGGTACTTGGCACTTAAGAATGTGCAATCTGTGTTAGCTTTTATTCTTCTTTTATTATTATTATTCTGAATTCTTAGGAGTACACAGCCATGAGGCCATAGTAGCTCTTTAATCATTATCTTCTAGGATTAATTCCAATCACATAGACAACAGCCGGGTATGCAGCAGGTTCTCAACGAAAGAGTTTTTCCCTCTTTCCTTCTTTCTCCTCTCCTAGCTTCTACAGACACTCCTCTGTCCCGTCATTGGCCTGGACGCCCCCCACACACACCCCTCCCCCCTCTTCCTTGGCTAGGATTCTTTTCTCACCCCAAATAAAACCGAGCCCTTGGAGTTATTTCGCCACCTGCTGTCCATTCTGGAAACTGCAACCACACGGGCGGGCTGGATGGAGGAGAGAGGTGGTTAAACATTTGCCCACCAGGCCTGTGCTGGACACCGTCTATGTGCACCCAAAAGATTCCACCCTGGGTGGGACCCATCCTCACCCTAAGAACACCCATAGTTACAGAAGGAGACTTACATGGAAATCTATAAAGTGTTACAGGTTCTGTGATAAAGCCAAAAACCAAGCTCGGCGCCTGTGGCTCAAGTGGCTAAGGCACCAGCCACATACACCTAAGGTGGCAGGTTCGAATCCAGACAGGGCCTGCCAAAAACAACAATGACGACTGCAACCACAAAAATAGCCGGATGCTGTGGCAGGCACCAGTGGTCCCAGCTACTTGGGAGGCTGAGGCAGGAGACTCACTTGAGCCCAGGAGTTGGAGGTTGCTGTGAGCTGTGATGCCACAATACTCTACCCAGGGGGATGGCTTGAGGCTCTGTCTCAAAAATAAATAAATAAATAAAACCAAAAACCGCAATAATATTAAAAAAGGCAATAGCTGCTGTTTATTAGACACTCACTACATACCAGGCACTATGCCAAGTAGATCCTCCTTATCAGTCCAAGGTGTTGTGGGGTGCCCAGGAGGGAAGATCAGTGTATCTGTGGCTAGTGTAAGGTAAGAAAAAGAAGACTGTCCTCAGCCCAGGTGGGGACAGGAACCCCACATTGGCCAGGAACGTCACAGGGCACTCCTGAGCTTCCATAGCGTGACCCAGCTATCTCCCATGAGGCAGGTCCCAAGTCCCAAGCCACTATACAGAGGAGCTGAGCAGGAACAGGAGATGACCTTTCCTTTCTTGACTGAAACGGGCACCTGGTATGGAGACCAAGTCTGGAGCCAGCCCAGTTGCCCCACACCCCCAGAGAGCTCCAGGAGGCAGAGATGCATACCAGGTCAGAGCCTGCTGAATGACCACTGTGCCTTCCTTAGGACCCTGCTCCAGCAGCTGCAGAAACTCCAGACCCTGGTCACCAATAAGATCTCCAGACCTTACAAGATGGCAGCCACTCAAACGGGGACCTGCCTTATGGTAGGTGCTTCCGTCCACCATGAGCCCACAGGAGGATAACTCTTCCCTAGGCTGGCTTTTCGGGGGGGGGTGGGCAGAGCTTTAAGGGATTGGTGATGTCATGGGCAGCATCACTTTAGTAAACCAATCATTGCCTGGTAGGTTGGCTCTGGTGGACCCCAGCTGCCTTCTCTGAGCCTATAAGCCTTCTGCAACTCTACCTTCCATGCCCAGTTATCTTGGTACGGATGTGAAGGTGATTCCAGTGAGCCAGCTAGGGATGGCAGGGCAGGCTCTTAAAGAGGTTGCTTTCACCAGCTTTGTAGAGTGAAGGACTTGGGGAGACGCAGGGAAGAGTGGATGTAGTTCCTTCTGGAATGGACAGCAGCCAAAAGACTGAGCAAACCCCTAAAAACCCAGAAGGGTGCCCAGGGTATGGCTCAGGCCCCTGCTAGTTCTTGTCCCATACTACCCTGGAAATGTCCATCCTGTTGTCAGTCACCTGGCTCAGCACTGCCCTGGCATCCTGCCATCCTCTAGCTGCAAGTGGCAGGACCAGGATATGGGCAGCGGGTAGTGTGAGCTACCTGACTTGCAGCTCCTCCTGCTGACCATGTGACACGGTGACATGTCCCACTCCCAGGTCCCAGCCACAACCCCGCCTCCACCTACCCTGTTCTTCCTTTCCTGATTCCTCCACCCTGGGCTACTTCTCTTTGGTTTCTAGCACTGCCTATGGCTCCCCCCACCCCCTACAATGGGCTGGGATGGCCTGAGCAGAGGGTGTGGGAGATCCCACAGGTAGCAAGTAGAGGCTGGATGACATTCTGAGACATCTGTACCACTGGTTTGGAGAGAAGCATTGGGGGTGGTTAGGGCTACAGCCCCACCTTGCCCCAAATGTGACACCACTCTCTCTTTCTCTCTGCTTACCAGGTAGCAGCCTTGTGCTTTGTTCTGGTGCTGGGCTCCCTTGTGCCCTGCCTTCCTGAGTTCTCTTCCAGCTCCCAGACTGTGAAGGAAGATCCCATGGCCTCAGACAGTGTCTACACAGCCAGTCAGAGTGAGTGCCCTCCTGTCCTGCCAGCTCTCTAAGCCAGGCTGCCCTCCCCCAGTCCCAACTTCTGGGCAGAAGCCAAACACAAAAGAGGAGACAAGTTTGGAGTTGGCATCATCTCATTCTACCTTCTCCTTTTCCAGATGGGGAAACTGTGGCCTAAAGAGGGTCAATGATCTGCTGAATGTTAGTGGCAGAATTGAGACTAGAATACAGAGCCCCTGATCCATGGCCTGCCTCCCAGGGACCCTCAGGAGTAGCCTGTGGGAGGTGGATTTTTAAGGAATGTCCCAGCCTCAGCCTGCAGGTATTATGGTGCACGTGGTTATGGGGCACCTGCTAACACCGTCAGTATTTCACAACAGGAACAGCAAGTGAGTTTCAGCTCAAGGGCCATTCCAGTAAGGCAGTGGCTGCCTGAAGCACAGTGTTAAGAAGGACTCTGAGGCACCATCCAGAAGCAACAGGAAGGAGTGTCATAGTCCACTGCTCACCTGTGGCAGGGTAGAGGAAGGGCCATGTCCATGAGAGATGGTGAGGTGAAATGGTTAGTGGCATGGAGCGTTTAGAGTCAGTCCTAACTGTCAATGCCGCTTGCTAACAGTGGGATCTGGAGCATGTGTCCTAAGCTCTATAAGCTTTCATTTCTTTGTCTGGAAAATGGGAGTTGCAATTCTGCACTCACTGAGCCATGGTTGTTGGGGAGACCAAAGAAGAAGCTGCGTGTGACACTCGGCTTTTTTCAGAGGCACTCGCAGGAGCAGAGAAGAGATACACTGTGGGGCTGGTGAGAGGAGAACTAGGGTCAGGCAGCCAAAGAATAACGTGGATTTCAGAAAACTCTTCAGATGGACCTGCAGAGGGAATCCCTAGCTGTCCTTGGTCACATGTCAAGAATCACGTATCTGGCATAGTAGGAGGAGGAAGAGGAAACAGATGCGAGGTCAAAGAGAGGGGAGATCAGGGAGGAGTGAGTTTCCAGAAGGAGGGATAATGCAGGGAGGCTGTGCAAGACTCCAAGGCCTTCAGGGAGGAAGCCAGCATGGGAGGGTAGGGGAAGAGGAAGCGAGGGCGAGAGTGAAAGCCACTCTCTAGACAAGTGCAGCCTGAGAAGGAGAGAATAGTTTGGTTGCTATGGCAGTGGGCACCAGCCAGGCAAGGTCTTGAGAGCCATATGTCTCCTTTTCCAAGGCCAGTGGAGGGAAGGGAGTGAAAGGGGGATGCGGATGAAGGAGAAAGTCAGAGTGAGAGGAGGCCAGGGAATGAATGAGGCCCAGATGTGGGCAGGGCGATGAGGAAGCAGGTGGCTTCAGAACAGGCTGGTGTATAAAGCTAGTGCATTGCACAATTCCAGGAACAGTCTTTCCCACAGACTAGGAGGTCATGGCTGGCAGAGCTGAAAGGGAGGTCACTGACCCTGAGCCAGGCAGACCTAGGTTTGCATCCTGCCTTCAGTGAGGACTACAGTGGGACAACTTAGCTGAGTACCTGGAACCTCAGTTACCTGCTGTGGGAAGCAGGTCTAAAGAAATCTCATTCCTGAGAGTTTCTGTAAGATTTTAATGGCTTGACGTAGGTTTAAGGGCATTGCATAATGCCTGGCACTTGCTGGGTGTCCAATAAGTGTTTGTTTTCTTTCTTGTCATTTCCCTGAAGGGCAAACTAGGGCCAAGAATGGGGAAGAGACTTATTCCAGGTCTCACAGAAAGGAAGTGGTGGAAGTTAGAGTCTAGCTCCCAAGAGCTTAAACCCAGTACCCTCTGCCCAGGAAGAGGTAACTCTAGGAGTACTTACTAAACGCAGTTTCAATCACTTCCTCTGCATCACCTCGTTTAAACCGCACATCTACATGGGGTTGATTCTGGTGTTCCTGTTGTACAAATGAGCTCTGCGGCTCGGCAAGGTTAAAGCATAAAGTGTGTGACTTCCCTAAGGTCACAAAGCTAAGAGGTGTTAGAGCTGGGATCTAGATTCAGGCCTATGGCTTGGCACCCGTGGCTCAAGTGGCTAAGGTGCCAGCCACGTACACCCAAGGTGGCGGGTTTGAATCCAGCCTGGGCCTGCCAAACAACAATGACGGCTGCAACCAAAAAATAGCCGGGCGTTGTGGTGGGCTCCTGTGGTCCCAGCTACTTGGGAGGCGGAGGCAGGAGACTCGCTTGAGCCCAGGAGTTGGAGGTTGCTGTGAGCTGAAATGCCACGGCACTCTACCCAGGGGGACAGCTTGAGGCTCTTGTCTCAAAAATAAATAAATAAAAATAAATAAAAAAAGATAGATTCAGGCCTATAAGATTCCAGGGCCTGAATCCTTAACTACTATGCCATGAATGTGACTGGGATGGAAATGGTACCTTGGCCACCCACAATTCATCCTGTACTCCCTCTCCAGTGCCCTCCAGAAGCCTCCTGTTCTACGACGAGGGGGCAGGCTCATGGGAAGATGGCCGCAGTGCCTTGCTGCCCATGGAGCCCCCAGACAGCTGGGAAATCAAGCCCGGGGGTCCAGCAGAGCAGCGGCCCCAGGACCACCTGCAGCATGACCACCTGGACAGCACCCACGAGACTACCAAGTACCTGAGCAAGGCCTGGCCTGAAGACGTCAATGGAAATGGCACCAACCCTGACTTCTCCCACTCCAAGGAGTGGTTCCATGACAGGTGGGTAGGGAGCCCCTTCTCTTCCTGAGGTCCCAGGCACCCCCCCTGCCCTCTCCCCTAGTCCCCACAATCTCTCAAGGCCTTGTCCCACCATATGCAGATCCAGCTTGCAGAAGGATAAGAGGGTTCCTACTGGGCAGAATCATCCCTGGCTTCTCTTCTCTTTCCAGGGATCTGGGTCCCAACACCACCATCAAGCTCTCCTAGGCCATACCAGGACACAGGACGTACCCCCGGCACCCAGAGGAAAAGTTGTCTTGCTCACTAACCGGGATCCGGCTCGTACCCCTTCCCCTGGAGCTTCCCGCTCCAGGAGAAAGGGCTCCACTTCCCAATCCTTGTTTGCCCCATATCTTGGCTGGAGCCTCCCCTCTCTGCCTAACATTCAGACTGTTCCCTTGGGCCAACCACTCTGTTCTCACTTCTCCCTCCCACAGCCATCCGTCCTTCTCAGATGAACCACTCACTGGCTACCCTTCCTCCTTTCTCACAGTGACCAACACGACCACCACCTCCCGCCCCCACACATGCACACAACCAGACACGTCACCACGCCCCTCCCCACAGACACCTCTGCCCCATCCCACTGTACAGAGACCAAGAACAGAAATTGTTTGTAAATAATGAACCTTATTTTTTATTATTGCCAATCCCCTAAGATATTGTATTTTACAAATCTCCCTCCTCCCTTTCCCCCTCCCTTGTTTTATATTTTATAAAGTTAGTGCGGGCTTTGCTGCTCCCTGGCCCAGGAAAGAGGGACCCTCCCACCCTCACCTGGCCTCCCCCTCGCCGCTGCCCAAGCCGCTGGGCCTTTTTAATTGCCAAACTGCTCCCTCCATTAGCTCAGCGCATGCTTTAAGAAGGCAAAATTAAAAAAAAAAAAAAGATGCAGCATCAATTCCTGACTTTGTGCCTTTCTTCGTGGTGGTGGTGGGGGGGGAGTGAGTAGGACTGAGGAAGACTAAGGGGTGGAGGAGTGAGAAGGGTAAGTTTATTCTGGGAGGGTACACGGGGAGTATAGGAGCATGAGAAGGTATTTCTGTTGTGCTCCCGCTTCCAGCCAGGTATAGAATTCAAACTGGACGGCCAAAGAATTCTGCTGCAAATCTCCCATGCCAAGGTTCCTCAGGGACCTACTATTGCTGAGTATCGAAGTGCATGAGCCACGGCCTTGGCCTTTGTGGACAGCAACTGCACGTGTGGGCCTACTGTGGGCCCGGCACTGTGCTAGGCACTTCACAACCGTACCTTCCAGTTTCTGGGTCCTTATATCCTTTGCCTCAGCTGGATTGAAGGCACAGATGTCAGAGTAAGAAGAGATTTTTTTTTTTTTTTGAGACAGAGCCTCAAGCTGAGCCCCTGGGTAGAGTGCCTTGGCTTCACTGCTCACAGCAACCTCCAACTCCTGGGCTCAA